TTTGAGATGAACGAGGATTATTATTTAGAGGGAGTATTCATCATGGAGTGACATCACCATTGGAAATCTGGGATCACTGGACAGCTGTTTCGCCTTAGTATGGGGCTCTTCAGCAGTAAGTACCCACGGTTAAGCTAGGGACCAAACTGAGGACCTTCAGGTTTCACGGCGAATGCGTCAACCGTTCAGCCACTGGGTCGGTTTCAGTGGTTCACAATTTCTAACTTCTGTCAATTCACGATATAGCACAACTATCACCCAAGGTCTTCAATTGGCACCCGTCTCCCTTCCAGCTGGTTGACCCCACAGGTCACGACTTCTCATTGGAACTTTGTGATATCCATCTAAAAGCATCTCACTAATGAGCACTATACAGTAATATATTTTTGAGATGAACAGGGATTTTAATTCTGAGGTAGTATTCATCACGGACTGATATCAGTGAGTGAATAGTTAACACGTTCGCTGTGAAACCTGAAGGTACTTAGTTCGATACCTAGCTAAGTCGTGAGTGGGCACTCATGAGGGGTCCCATACTAAGAAAATAACAGCCGTCCAGTACTCCCAGATTTGTAATGGTTCTACAACCTATGTCGGTTATGATGATTACTACCTCTATAAAACTATAAGTTTACTGATGTGTACGAACGTTTGATTCGAAGTAAACCTCCTTACCTGTTTGTGCAATACACGTTCATGAGGATCCGTTTTTCAAAAGGTTTTATCAGTCTTGAAGCCGTTGGGAAAGAGGAGGAATAAATTACGTTATCTTTATAGAATCCCAGATTTTAGTTGCTACTTGATATTGAAATTCTTTGCTTCAATTAAAAATTGTAGTGAGTTGATAGTTATCGATCCCTTGTATGTTGTGTACACTAAGCGATTCTAATTTTATCCTGACCCTGACTATGCGGATTTCAAAAAATCAACTCCAGACGCTTTTTTGATATCAGTCGTCATGAATATAACTCGAAATCCCAAGTTTCAAGCGTATCAAATGTACTGGGATGTTTTCAAGACATAATTCTATAACTTATTTTTAATCAACCAAATGAGAACGAAAACATTAATTATGAATAGTGGTTAGCAGTAGAATACAGAATGCACGTTTCGTCCTGTTTAGGGATCGTCAAGTGAATGTACCTGCCACCCAGTACATGATGTTATACTCACTAAGAGTTGAACCCAGGACCAGTCACTTCAGATGGTTCACAAGCTATAATATCCAATGAGAATGTCAGTCAACGGAAATGTTGACATAGAGTCAATATTCAATCTGTTTAGGCTGCAAAACAAGTGGATGCAGAGCGACAAAAAATTTCAATGATCAACTCTAATATGTTAGTAACAAGTGACAACTTTTCTGTCATAAAAATCTTCAGTCAGAGTGATCCAATGAAACTGGAGACCAGAGTGGTCAAGGTGTAACAAAATCCCCCTCTCTCAGTCTACACTTGGATAATACTCAAGGTCAGAGGAAACGCAATGTATGAACATGCCTCCCTTCTGTCCACAACAATACATTAAAGCACAGAGAACACCTAACCGTTAAAATTGGAGATCTTATAGTTCACTACTGATAGTGACAGAAACTATTAAAACATGTTCTTCTACTCTGACCGATCATCGTTTAGTCTTAGACGTTGACTGAATCTTATCGATTGAGTTTTCAATATCGTCAATAAGCTTAGAGATTGACTATTACAATTTACCTCACATGTTCTATCACACACGTTTCCTGGAGTACTCCATGTCCAGCTTTCAGGACAAAATGAAGTAGGTATCGCTCAGCATGCACCAAATAATAGTAACATCAATAAATACAATCATAAAAATAAGAGAACAGATAGTAAAAAGTAATTTCCTGACTCGAAATCAAATAAAATAAATAAACACGTAAGGATTCTGTAACTGCATATAAGTTGTTCTCCCTTAAGATCATTGAAAAACGGAAGTAAGCTCGAGCAACATACACTCATACAAACAAACACATACACACACATCCAAACTCGTGTTTAAAAGTAGTAAACATCACTCTCCATTGTACAAATCACCTTCCCCTCAGAATGTAACATATTTTACTGGATAATTTTCATTTCTTGTATCCTGAATCACTGAAATTTTAATAAATTAAAATAAATACATAAATATTTTAATCAATATTAGTCTTTACAACAATAATTGCTGATATTTTTCGAATCTCATTAACATCACTCAATGTTTGGAGAGAAAAATGGGAGTTTTATCATCAGTTTTTGATTACAAGTTGGTATTCGTCCAGGACAGACATTGGCTGGATAGCCATTGAAAACCACGAAGCACTGAATAGCTGTCTCGTCTTAGTATAGGATTCCTCACTAATACGTAATCACGACCTCGCCATAGCTATATTTAGAATGACAGAAGTAGGGAAATGTAGACCAATAGATTTCGACTCAAAGGCTCTATGGTGACGTATTGGCTATGGAACTTAAAAACCCTGAGTTTGATGCCTGACTGAATCATGAGTGTGCACTGTTGGGGAGTTTCATACAAGGACGAGACAGCTGTTTAGTGCTCCCAGGATTTTAGTAATTCTCCAGCCAATGTCAGTTCGAGATGAATACCAAGTTAAATCAATAAATAAATTTCCAAAACTCTCCAAATTGAATTTTCGGGTAGTTTACGCCACGGATTAATTAAACTTAGAAAATGTAGGCTATCGTATCTTAACGCAGTGGTTGTAGAATGATGTCTTCACCACGTAACCAAACAGTCTTGGGATGGATCCCTCATTAAGACAAGGGTACACACGCATGAAGAGTGAAAAACCAAGAGGAAATGGCTATCCAGCACTCTTAGGTTTCCTATAGTCCTCTAACCGATAATAGTCCGTCAAACTAATCGGCCTGTACAAAACAAACGCTCAACTGAATCTTGTCATTAGTTTATTGTAACAGTTGAGTCAACAGAGCATAACTCAATAACATAGAGACTGTAAGTTCAAATACTCTTACAAAACAGCTCTAGCTCCAATCCCAGTCCTCATCCTCATTATTCATACCAATCAGTTTACCTTCCAAAGAAGGCCATCTCAGTAACAGTTAGTGGTTGTCAGCAGAATACAAGGGAGCCGCTCCATCTTATTTCGGACTCTTCAGCTGGATGTGCCCACTCCCTTGTTGGTGACGTTGTATCCACTAAGACTAAAGATCAAGAACAATTACTTCAAGCACTAGAGCGTTATCTACAAGGCTGCTGACACTCAAATAGGACAAAACGCGAATCTCGGATTCCATTGCTAGCCACTATCCATCAACTCAAGCGATGTCCACTACGCCACGAGGGTACGAGAGCCACTGCTTATGCAACGGTCATCAGTTATTCTCCATTGATACTTGTAGTTTCCTGTTGTTACAAAACAACAAAACAACTGATACTCACTGCATTTCTGGTGGCTGTCATGGCCCAATGACGTAATGGATAATTCTTTGGCATTTGAAGTGATAGGTGCTGGGTCCGAGTCCCAGTGGAAACAATATCTCTTACTGGGGTTCAGACACCTCCAGCTGGCGAGTCTCAAATAGGACGAAACAGTGGTCTTTTATTCGACTCCCAGTCACCAAGATTAATTTAACTTGATGAATATTGGGGAGCATCGAGGCATTTGCATAGAAGCCCATCTGCCTACAGAGGTTAGGCAATTCAACGGTGTTTAGCAATGGAAAATTACAAGTATCAAACAGCAGATGGAGTCTCTTTGCTATTTGTGGACTGTTTATAAAGCGGCGTTTAGTTAATATTCAGTTCGTGGTAATCTTTTTTGTCATAGGTAGTGAAGCCATAAATTTACTCATAGATAAGGATATCGGCAAGGCGCGACAAGTCACAATTGTTCTGTGAGTCTGTCCGAAAATCCTTGGTTGTGATTAGTTGTTAGATGGTTGTAGATAATCGTCAAGTAACTATACCTGACCCAATTTTCTTTCTTGTTGGCACTCATCATCATTGTGTTTCTGGAATCCCGAAAGAACTCATTTCTCCTGAGGGATTCTAACCGGCATCACCTAGTGCTGAAGTGTGAGACGTTACCACTGAGCTATTCGTGCTGCGGTTCACCTCCTGTGTGAACAGATTAGGTGGAATGACTGGTCAGTAGGGAGTTACCAATTTCACGTTGTCTTGTCCTGAGTGCTGACCACTCTATGGTTGGTTGTGTTTAGAAGCGATGCTAAAACTTTTAGTGAACGTCAGTTGACTGATAATTTTTTAAAATAGCCAAATCCTTATCATATTTTGGCTGTGTATTAATCTCTTAGTTATTTGACAGAGTTAATTTGCATCCAGAAGAAATGAATGACACTGTAAAGAAATACTCCAGCCTTCTTCCAACCTTGTCAATCAAAATTATTTTATTTGGATTAATGTTAATCACTCAAGAATTAGTCATTTCACATTGCTTAATTATATTTCACGACTAACCAGTAGGTTAAAGTATATCGAATCCTTTTCTGTAAGCGCTTGTAAAGGCACTGCATTTTTGCCATAAACTTATCTGTTCTTCAGGCTTGCAATCGGCTCCGATTATCGTCTAAGTCCTTACTTCACATCTAGTGTACTCGTCTTAATAAGGTATTGTATCAAATGCAGTTCCATTTCATTCACTAAGAAGTTATTTTGTAATTTGTAATTAATAGTTTTTGGGATCATTGAATTGCTAATTAGGTTTGTTGTGACGTTTTTGGATGTTAGCATCATAAAGTTATCCTTACATTTTCAAGTCAGACAAATGCTTGTGAATGTTGTAGTACGAGTTCAGATGATATAAGTTATATTAGTGGTATCCAGATGAAAATTAGGGATCGACTGAAACGGTCCTGGAAATCTAGTTGTCTGGTTACACTTTGCCTACTGTCATCATCTTCCTCATCTCTGTGATATTTATTACTTAGAACGAATTACTTCTTAACGATTTTCTTTGAATAACGAAAAAACATAATAATAACTTGTATTTTTTGCAGGCCTACCGAATTCTGGGAAAAATACATTCTGTAAACAACTACGTCTACATTTCGGTGACGGTTTTCCAACATCATTTCGTGTTGACATGAAATCTACTATACTGGCGAATACAACAGATGCTATAGCACTTGTCCTGGAGTATATGAAAGAATCCAACATCCTGTTCTCAGACATTTTGGCTCATGTATGTCTAATGGAGTAAAAGAGTACTATGCATTAAACTGCTTCATATCACTTTTATGTATATTGTTTAACTTTCTGTTACCAATATTTGTGTTTATTTGTATATGTATGTGTGTGAGTTTAGTGATGATGAAAGATGTTTCACACAAATTAGCAACTATCCGATGTCCAGCCTCAAACCTGACTATTTATCAACAACCACTCAACCGTAAGGGGAAATTGTGTTTCATAATACATGCATAAGTCTTTGAAACACACTGCAAGCAACGATTTTAGTGAAATACAATGTTAATCTTGGGTTTCATAACCTTTTCTTTATCTGATATCCATCTAGTATATGGTAGTTATTACTATTTGAAGGCAGTCGATAAAATAGTTTGAAACAGAAAATTACAGTGCAAATTCGATGATATATGGAGTTCAGGTGATTGTGGCGTTCATATTGTCGTGAAAAAAAATTTCTAAGAATTTAGGACACTGATAATTTGATGATGAGTTTGACTGTCTGGTTTTGCAGACTTGTATGGTCCATAATAGGTGATAATTGTAGGTGAAATAAAAATTTGCGTTGTGGCAGGATTTGGACCAACAGCATTTCAGTTTATGGACATAAGAATAACGTGAAAGAAGAATGATGTGAGTTCAGTCAAATACAACGTTTTTGTGAAATACACAATCCACGGGAAGAAATTGCATCGTAGTTCCCCGTGGAAACCGAAATATGAGGTATTAGTTTATTTAGTACACATTCAATAGGAGCTTAAGCCGACAAACGGTAATCAGAATGGTGACTGATAAAGTGGAAGATAGTGAAATTTCTTACACAGATAGTTGAAAATTAAGCAATAGGTCATGTTCTGTCTAACATTTTAACTGAAATGGCATTTTCAAATCAGATTTAACTGGAGTTTTACTACTTGATGATAATTTTGGAAGCTGTCCTATTGTCTTTCTCGTATACAACATCTAGTAAGCGACGTACGATCGAACTGTTGATGTTATTTTAGCTCGTTTTGGTGTGACCAGTTTGGGGAGTATAGAAGGAAAAGAGTGAAAACCCGTTTTGTGAAGCCCAAAATATACCTTCTTTTGCAAGTAGACTTGATAAATTGGTATTCACCATTAAAAGCGACATCACAAAAGGTATTTAATTACTTTTGTCTGGATTACTGACCACTGTGTATCACACAGTAGTACTGACTGTTCATAACAAATTTCATTTATCCATTTATCGTACTTTCAACCTGACCTCGCTTAAACACACGTTGAATAAACACTTTACAGTTTCACGTAGTACGATCGGAGGGTCTCCCTAACCCAGTTTTTCCCACTTAAGCTATCTTCTTGATAGAATATGTGATATTCCTATCTTCTTTATATGTGATAACAAGACGGATAAATCGGAGATATAATAAACGGAATATTAACTTCATGCAGTTTTGTCTGTTCTCACACAAATAGAAGCACTGAGTCGCTCAGCTCAACAGTATTGCCGAAGAGAAGACTACGAACTTCTATGATTTCATTGTATTCTGCTAAACCTGTTGCTCTTGTCTTGTCCAGGTTCATATATGGGAACTAGATGCATGGAAACCACTTAGTTCAAAGTCACATGCTGTATGCAATTAGATCAAAACTTTTGAAGGCTTCTCTTTGGGAGGTTTATTACAGCATAGATATTCACCAGGGCCGATGTTTCTTGAAAGAAGATATAGGATCTAGGAAATTACTTAGCTGGATTCCGAGTGGAATGTTCGTCTTTCGTTTACTTGGGGATATTGAATAACCCTTCAAAACTGAGTGGAAATTGTGGCCTAGTTGCCATTGCAGTCTTGTAGTCTGTCCTTTAGGATAACTAGTCAGTAATCTGAATACATTGATCTAAAATTCTGGGAGGCTGTTGCTTGGTGTATGTTAGTTGGTTGAGGGCAATCGTCAGGAAGCCCGCTTAACCTGAATTTCGTGCTTTTTGACTGTCATTAGTACGGCATGTCTGTCTGGAACTGATGCCCCTCTGACATTAAATCAGGTCAAGACTCAGGAATAGATAGCAGTAAAGTGATTGTTCTCCAATGATCAGTCAGTGTATCCAACCCAACCGCATCAGAGGTCAATCTTGGCCTAAACAGCTCAGTGGCAACGTCGCTGGCTACAACGCTGAGTAACACGAGTTAGGATCCCTCGAGAGAAATGATTTCTTTCGAGGTTTCACATGCTCCTCGCTGCCGATTGTCAACAACCACGAAACCTGAGCCGAGCAGGGCTTCCTTCCAACTACCTCTGACCTAATAATATCTATCAAGGTTCATCACAATGGTCAGTCTCCTACTTGGTGGCCACATTGTAGAAGGATCCTTAGTATTCGATCAGCACTGCGGACTGAACAACATGTAATTGGTTGCTCACCTATGATCAGTTAATGTACAGTTCAGTGTTATTCCTTGTAGTTTCCTGACGTTGACTGGACCAAAGGGACTGGGCACTACTGACATATGAGTTGCTGTGTGAATCCCTGGGTATTGCCGGTAATTTAAATTTGAAAACAATGATGGATATTGGCTAACAGTGAAATCCATAACGCGGGAGACTACGAGCTATATCACCAAACAATATTGTTTGTTAATTTCAGCTCATATATATATATATATATATATATCAGAACAATGTAATGTCGAGGAGTATATCCAGTGTTTCAGTACATTTGACACCAGACATGGAAACTAGATTCTGTCAGTTTTCTCAACAATCTGTCTTAGAACAGTTTCAATAATATTTTAAAATTATTTACAGCAATGCAGGAAACTCTGTGAGGTGTCCTACACTAGGACAAAACAGCTATCCAGTCACTCCAGATCTTCAGTGATCCCCTAACTGATGTCAGTATGGGATGAATACCAACTTGAAATCAATAAAATTCCCGTGAACCTGAAAACTGATCATTAGTGACTTGCTTTAAGATGAGGTTTCCTGGAGTTCTAACAAGAAGTCATGACTAGTGGAATAAACTAAGTAGTACGTGAGGACAGGTATTCAGCGACAGTATTGCATGAGGGTTCCGCTTTATCGTGAACTGAAAAAAGTAGGAAGATGTGAACCATTAGATTCCAGCAATGTGGCTCATTGGTAACGTGCTGGCTATAGAACCCGAAGGCTTTTGTTTACATTCATGTTGAGGTCATGGACATGCACTGCTGATGAGCACAGAGCTGGGCTGAAACAGCCATCCAGTGCTTTCGGGTTTACAGTAGTTCATTAGGTGATATCACTTTGTGATGAAAACCACCTTGAAATTGGTAAATTAATCCCCACAGACCTCCAAATTGAAGATGTAATAGTCACGCTGACATCTACTGAAAAAGTTAATCCTGTTGGCGATTCCCTGCTTGAAATGAACCCTTTATGACACTCATGGGATCGTCTTTTAACTGATGGGCCAGTTATGCATACTTCCATGTATGTCACTTTATTTTTCACCCCACTGGGTTAACTTCGTCTTTTCTGTCAGTTACATACCTGGTGGCAAAAATGGCTAACAACGCGTCAAATGCGAAAGGAATGGGAACGTTTATCCCTTCTGGAACCTTTTAGTGAGGTGTATCTTCATTCCTCTGGGCACTAATGCTCTTACTGAATCTAGCGTTCGTCTCTTCACACATAGTAGCTTCATCTTAATCATCGCGTATCAGTTTGTTATTGAAAGATAACATTCGATAACACAGGTGTTTCACATTTCATTTGTAACAAAAGAATCTTGTTGGAGTGCTCATTGAACATATGAGGAGAACACAAAGTTTCGTTAGAATGCATCACCACTCATGATGTATTATTACCTTTAATGCAAAATTTCAGAAATAGCTCATTGACTGAGTCATGTTTTTCATATGAATAGATTTCTAAGCAATACTAGTTATGAATCAGTTTGCCTGCTGTCATGTTGGAAGAGAATCATCTACTGAGCTTTGAGACAAAATGTGAAACTATGTGTGTTCTGTTGACGAATAAGCTTATACAACTCGGTATCATGTGCTTGAGCTGATAGCTGCAAAATATGTCTGATTTTGATTCATTCACGTGTTCCTGACAATGTGCACACCTCACCATCTAAATAAATGCACACTTGCTACTGTTCGCTCGCACCTAGAGCCACCAACTCCATGGCACGTAAAAAGAAATATTTTTTTACCATTAAACTATTTTCCTCCTCCCATTTTAAAAAAGGAGGCGGAGACTAATGGCTCACTGTCCTTTTTCATTTGCCCTCTGAGGAATGACTGCTGAAATACCCGATCAAGTTTTGATATTTCGACTGGAAAGGTAGTTTTTTATACAAGAGAGAGACGTAACTGGTTATCTCAGAGTTCGTTAGGATATTGAAGTCACTCCCCTCTGAGTTATGTATGTGTACATCTGAACTACGGGCCGACAAAACACCATAATTCATTAAATGAAATTACTGATTTTGTGCACAGTAAATGAAATAAAGCCTATTAACTGAGTCCGCTTAACGTGTGAATGACTTCAAAGACCATCTTAAGAAGGGCTAAAATCGCCAACTGGGTTTCTTTTTTTCAGCTAGAAAGGCAATCAACATAAAATGCATAAATCTAACTAGTTGCTTCAGTTTTCGTCAGGTTGGTGGCCTTTACAGTTGCTCCTGACATGTGGTTACTTAGGAACCAGAATCTCACAGAGATGAGTTGGAGGTCAGTAAAGAGTTGTTGAACCAAGCCATACCATAATACTGTACAGTAAATCCTAAGTAAAATTCCTTCCAAAATAAATAGAACGGTACAGACTACAGCACTTGTATGAGAATTCTATTTCATTCACCTTGGTCTGATATGAAACTATATCGTTAGATCTGGAAAACAAGATGAGGGTTCTCATAAAGGCTGATTCACGACTCGTTTGACTTCCATTTCATTCTGATATGAGTTTGTCTGAAAAAATCCAAGGTCTATCTTTCAATCTGCCGTTGATTATGGCCCACTGGTAGGAAGTTGAGCTACTCCATAGATTCCTTAAGATTTGATTGAATGCGTTTGTAACCTGGTCTAAAGTTTTAACCGCAATAACTTTAGACTGCGAATATGACGTTCATTGCTTTTTTCTGGTATTCCTGAATGACTCTACACTTCCTTTATTCATTTTATAGAGACTTCAAGAGTATCTGGTGAATAGTCGATCTGAGAATGGTTGGATTACAAAAGATTTCATCCTCTTCGAACCAGAATATAACAATACCAATAGTTGTAGTGTATTTAAACGCCAAGAAGTGACAGTCAAAGCTAAACACAACGAGAAAACAGACCAAATAAATATCCCTAATTATCTTAGTCATAACCCTTCAGTAATGAGTACGTGTACAATGGTGGGATCCGTTGCTACTGGCTCCGCCACGACAACAGATGTAACCACTGACCAGTCGAATACTGGTGATTACTTGAAGCCTATAAACGACACTTCAACAACTGTCAACAACTTATCTACAGAATCATACAGTTCTAGTTTCCACTTATCCTCTAATACGGTTGTCAACAAAGCAAATACAAAAAGTATAACAGATTCAATTGTTGAACGTTTCCTACTATACGTCAATGAGCATAATTCCATACCACCATCAGTATTAAAAAAGTTTGAATCAGTCATTGACATAAAATCCTTCGATAATTGGCAAAATATAATTCATGATAAGGTCACTTTACATCACTTGATACACTTACTACTTCAAAGTGGTATTGACAACTGGTCATCATTTCTAATGCACAGTTCAACACCACCACCAGCTCCGACCACTTTACCACCAGTCTCTGTTGAAGATGAATTATTAGATTACATAGTGACAAGTGAAAGTCTTGACAGTTCAGAAGAAGGTGAGGATGATGACGACGACAGTGAAGATGATAGATATGGTGAAGATGAAGAAAGTGGATTAACAAACTCATCGAATTCTCCACCCAGAACTTTGGTTAACAGTCCTTCTAGTACTAGAGAAATTAAGAATCTGATATATTACAATGATAATGACGATGATAATGATGATCATGCCGACAGCAGTGACCAAGAGGATATTGATTATGATGACTGGGAGAACTGTATTGATCATTTGGCTGACCTTAAACAGGCGATAACTCAAATATTAAAGCGCCAGGCAGATCATTAATCAGAACAAGACGCAAAACTAAAGGTGAGTATAAATTATCCACCCACTTCACAATTTTTGGGTAATTGGTCCTATTGACGCTTGCAATAAGACATGCCATTACATAGGTTGGAGAACTGAAACAAAAAGCCATAGAACCAGGATGTAACAAGGAAGATTACTGGGAAGGAACTACTCGGAAAGACTCATCATTATCGTCAAGATTAACATGGGACTAGGTATTAACGCATAACGGTCAACGTTGCTAAACCCCCTATCAGCACATTGAGTAACGAGGCAATAAAATGGAAGATGAAGAAGAAAAGAAAAATCGGTCAAAAGAAGTAGGAGTAGAGAGTTGTAAAACAGAGGAAGAGAAGATGATAAGACTAAGTATAGCGGTTAAGATGACATCGGTTCTGAGCCGTATCACCTAGAGTCTCCAGTCACTAGTTTCTCTTGTTCCACGGATCCCAACCAGCTAGTCTGCCTTGCCCTACATTGCTGAAACCAACAGTCAAGGACTTCATGAAGTGATGTCATGTTTTAGTCTGATCACCCGAACCTTTTTCCAGCCTGAACCCACTTCGATGAAAACTGTGTGAAGAGTCGGACGGTGTAAGGCATGCGTAACAGATGTTCTAGCCATGTTAGTCGATAAAGGTTCACAACATCATCCTCTGACTTACCCTTCCCCTCCCAAAAAACAACTAAGCCTGACTTCTATGCCTGACACCACAAACAAGGGCTTTGCTAAGATGGTAGCGGTGGTCAAATACCTACAACCTTCTCATGTCTTCCACTTTCACTGCCCATGTTTCATAGCCATATAGTATAGAGTGGTTTGCATCAGATTACACTGGACCCGTGACAGACAGTCGGATATCGTGGCGACATGACAGATTGCAAAAGCCAACCGAGACTTTTGTATCCGTGCTTAGATTTCGTCAGCCACTGACCCCTCAGGACTAATCCAACTTCCTAGGTAAGTGAAATTTTCAACGCGTTTGACCACTTCACTCTATACTGTTAGTCAGGGTACCGTTGAAAACCAGTTCTAGAGCAGGAGTTTGCATTTGGGTGGTGAGAAAAGCATCCCAAACATTCTCAAACTACCACTCAAGGTGTTCAGAAGACTCTGCATCTTGTGGGCGTCTTCAGCTAACAGGACTATGTCATCTGTGTATTCCAGGTCTACCGAGAATTCTTCTATGATCAAGTCAATCCCTGTGTGGTCAGAAGACGAGAGGGGGATTTCCATCAGAATATCTATGATAAAATTGAAAAGGAATGGAGAGAGTGGATATCCTTGACGGACATCACTCGTTGTACGTAGCCCACCATAGGTTTTAAGGCACGTACAGGTATTCTAGTAAAGAGCCTTCAATAGGGTGATATACTCACTCGGTAACCCTTTCAATGAGAGACTGCCATAAAACCTCTCAATCGACGGAGTCAAAGGCTGCTTTCAGGTAAAGAAATACAGCTGTTGTTGGGCATCGGTTAGCGTGTCTGTGTTTCAGAACCTGGAGGAGTATCAATGTTTGGTGGATACATCCATGGCCAGATCTAAAGCCTGCCTGGTTTTCTCGGACTTGCTGTTCCCAAGCTCTACTCAGACATTTAATGAATGCAGAACTCAGAATTTTAGACGCTATGTTCATCAGGCTGATTCCTCTGCGCTTATCACAACAGGCCAGAGGGGATCATATTCGACTAGTTATTACTTCAGTTAACTTGACTAAAACCACTCCACCATCGTCCCTATATACCTCAGGAACTAGGGCGTTTGGGCCTACTACCCTCCCTCATTTCAAGCTACCTACCGCTTTCTCCACTTCAGGTGTTGGTAAGCCTATCTCAATGTTTCATTCAGAATCCAACTGAATGGCGGGGAACACGACAGTAGTCGGAAGCCAGTTGAACTCTCCCTTGAAGTGTTCCACCCATCGTTGCAGTTGTCTGCTTTAAGAGTGAATCGCAGACCCATCCTCCGCCGATATAGCTTTACGAACCGTTGACCTATTCACCCTAGTTTCCCTATTAAGTCTTAATAATTGTCTTCTGTTACTTATCGCCGCTGCCTTTTTCATCTCTTTAGCCTTCTCTGCCCACCACTGTTCGCTGTCACTGCAGAGACATTTTGTCATTTGGTGTTTGAGTTGCATTTGCTCCTGATTCTAGTCTGAGCCTGAAGGGCTATTTTCGCGTGCATCCATTAATTCAGATGAAGCTGCTGATATCGACTGTGGCTTTTTAATCACTCTTTGACGGTCGATGATGGTCTTCAAAGCTGCTTTTACAGCAGACTGGAGATGGCACCAGGCTTCTTTAGATGGGTGATAGTGTTCTGTTCCGATATCTGCCTAGCCAGTTTCTCACTGGAAGCCACCTTAGTGTTCTCATTGTCCAGCTGCATTCGTATTGGTCTTGTTGCTAAATTTTTTCGACATTCATTGAGTTGTAGACATGTACGTGCTCAAACCAAGGCGTGGTCGCTATCCAAGCATGTACTCCTGAAGGAGCGGCAGTCTTCCGCCGATCCTTTCCAGAGATGGCTAGTAGTAGTGTGGTCTATCTGTGTCTATTACTGAGTTGAACTCAGTGGGCACCACGTCAGACAATGTCTTTCTTTGTGTCTGAAGTTTGTGCTGGCTAGAAACAAATGGTTATCTGAACACAATTGTAGTAGGCGGTCACCGTTATCTGTTTGTTTAGTTGGGATTCCGAAAGTGTCACCTAAGTCTCTTTCTGTCTAACTAAGATTAGCCAATTGTGAGTTGAAATCACCTGCAACATCAACCATATCTGAACGTTTTGCTTTAAGAACGAGGCTAGACAATTTTTGGTAGAACTCATCCTTCACTGTATAGGGAACTGCAGTCAGTGGGTGCGCCAGCAGAGATTACGAGGAAGCAACGGTGAATTTCACTGTACCATTCAGACTGGAAACGCATAGGTGACTGCTAATTAGGATCTAGTCTAGCAGTGAGCTTTCTGCCCTAGTGCTTAATCCTATGCTTACACCTGCAAGAACATGAGAGCTGGCCACTGAATCTCCAGAAACTCGAAAGGTGACTTTGTGTATTCAGCACATTGGCTGAGAGAGGTTAAATCAATAACTACACTTGGGTCCTGTATATGTCTCATAGACGTAGCATACATCCATGGTCCAAGTTGCCAGAGTTTTGGCCAATGGCGCTTGTTGGCCAATTTGGTGGAGGGTGTGGACATTGAAGTCTTCAATGTGTAATTCGGAGCGTAATTTAGGGAGAACAGTGGTGTTTTCCTGTGAACTCAGATCGTTGTTGAAAGCTGAAGAGCTAGAAAGAAATAAAGATGACATAAGATTTTAACTGAGAGACGTGAAGGGAGATAAGAAAGTAGGTAAGGGAGAGGTGGACATTGGTCCGTAGGGACTTGAGCCCTGGTAGAGTTGTGAGAGCGATTGACACTTTCCAGTTGCTCACACTGTATAAGGTCGGGTCTTCTTGAAGTGCCGGAAAAAGAAGAGTTAGTGCGTAAGCGCAGAACCCAGAGGAAATCTGCTGGAGGCCGGTCACATACGGTCTTCTTGATGCCACGAAAATTGGCCTGTGTTATGGAAGGTGTGGTCGGACATACGTCCGGTGGTTTTGGATCCCCACTAACCACTTATCTAAGCCATCATAATGCATCATTTCATTGTTTAAGAACACGTTGAGGGTAAAAGCAACTGCCTTTCCTCTAACCATTATTCAACAAACCTTTTTGGTATGATAGGACCTCGAAAGAACAAACGTCCTACTAACACAGCTCTTTGGGTCACCATGATATACAAATCCGACCACCACATGAATGTATTAACTATCTCTCAACCAAGAAGGACTAGATTTTCAGAGTTAGTGAGGTGTGCACGAACAGAACTTGTGATATTTCTTCTTTCTTCTTAATAGTGAAGCTGGATAGCGTTCCAAAATAAGTTGAAGGAAGCCATGATATGTATTATCAAATAACCAGGTTACTATCTGGGAAGAGATCAACGCAGATGAAACCAATAAAAGAGGATGAAGAAAATTTCATTGCCAAAGAAGAGAAACAAAGGAAACGATGGACCGACCACTTCAAAAAGCTCTTGAAGCGACCACCACCATCTGCATTTCGTCCAGAAATACCACCTGCAGCCCAGCCGCTGAAATACAAGTGAACATAAATCCTCCAACAACAGTGGAAGTTCTGAACGCCATAAAGCTACCGAAATGTGGGAAAGCAGCAGGACCAGATGAAATCCCTCCAGAAGCAGAGACAACAGCGGACATGCTAACACCACTATTGCAGAAGGTGTTGAAGGAAGGAGAGGTAGTTGTCCATTGATTGAAAGCAGGACTACCTTGTCAAACTCCCAAAGAAGGGAGACCTCACTGTTTGCAAGAACTGGCGCGGAGTCACTCTCCTGTCCACCCAGTGCAAGCAAAATATTAGGCCGCATCATCCTGGAGAGGCTAAAGGATGAACTGGATTCAAAACTACAACCGGAACAGGCCGGCTGGATTCAGGAAGTATAAATCATATGCGGACCAAATCGCAACGCTACACTACGCATCATCATACAACAGAGTATAGAATGGTAGTCAACTCTCTACCTCAACTTCATCCACTTTGAGAAGGACTTTGACAGCGTCGACCAAGAAGTAATTTGGCAGTTGCTTCAACACTACGGAATACCACAAACCTCTATCAGCCTCATCCAACAACTAGCTATGTGAAGACGCCACATGTCAAGTAATTTACAATGGGAAGCTCAGTGATGCTTTTGAAGTGAAGTGAAGACAGGAGTGAAACAAGGTTGCCTACTATCACCCATGATATTCCTGATTGTGTTGTGGTCGACTGGATCATGCAGCAAGCAGTGAGGAGCGAGAAGAGGGTGATACGCTGGCTGGACTGCGGAAAAGAACCTAGGAGATTTGGATTTCGCCAACGATGACTTGTGCCTGATGTCACACAAACTTGAAGATCTACAGGTGAAAAGTAACAAGTTG